TTCTTCGTGCTAGACTAGAATACTATGACATTATGTATATTGTTTATAAAGTAGTATAAAGGCTTAGTATGTGTCTACAGGTCTGATAGAACTTTGTTAATGGATAAATTGACTATAATTTTGTTGGTATATGTTTTAAAAAAAATTAGAGGTACTTAATTTGTGTATGACTGGAATTACTTGTATGTCATCCATTCCTCTGTTTTGGGTTGCAGAGGATAAGTGGGGGTTAAGTTGTGTGAGATAAGTAGTGTAAGGGATGGTAGATCTGTATATTATAAATGACATTTGGACTTGGTTTGATGATTATAAGTAAGTGAAATTTGTTGGATGAGTAGTCTGATATGGTTTCAGAAATTATCTACTTGCTGTGATGCCTGAATGTGTATCTGACATGAAACCACATATTATGATATTAAATCTGATTGCATGTATGTTAGTGTTCAGGCTTTTTGCGGGTATGTGGCATAAATGATAGGATACTGGAAGTAAAAGTTCATGAACTTAGTTAAAATAATAGATATTATAATTTTTGCTGAATTAATTCCAGATTATGTATGGGTTGGTGTTTAGGTGAATATGTTAAGTAGGATGCAGTTTTGTAAACATTTTTTTCCTGTTTACTTTGGACGATACTAATTTCCGATTTCAATGAATATAGTGTACGGACTTGGTCGATGATGGTTGACTCTGTTTGGATTAAAAATAGGTTTTTGAAAATTGTAAAAGATGTACTGTNTGAAGAGTTAATAAATTAACCATTTATAACATCCCTGTGTAGGGATGACAACGGATCGGGTCAGATACGGATAATGCCTACCCTCAATCCGATCCGACAAAACAAATATACCCGCTTGTCAATCCGCTACCCGCACCCGCTTAAAAAATATCTGCGGATATTTTAAAATCCGCGGATATCCGTGGATACCTGCGAATACCCGCAAATATTTAAAAAATATATTTTTATAAAATATTATAATAAAATTTAAATAAAATTACAAAAAATATATAAAATATAATATTAATTAAATTAAATACAAATTAAATTTTAATTTTAATTATATTTAATCTTATAAAATATAAATTAATTTTAATTTTATTTAAATTTAACTTAATAAAATATAAATTAAAGTTTTACTTTTATTTTTCGGGGATAGCGAATATTCGCAGATACGAATAGTATAATACCCGCACCCGACTTGTTTATAAGTAGCTATTAGAAAACCCACTATCCACAACTCATAGTAATGAATATTTGCGAATACCAATTATTTGTCACGAATTTTATCTGTGAATATCCACCGATTTTTTTGCCATCTCTAATCTTACGGATAAATAAACTGATTAGATATTCACAGTAATTAATATTTAACATAAACCAATCCCGCATATAATTTTATTACGGTCAAATAACTATAAAAGTAAACATATCAAATAGTTGGAGCAAAACGATGAAAATACTAACTTTACAGATTTTAATAATATGGTAATATTATTTGAAATCTCAATTTAAATGCATACAAAAATTGATAAATATCAAATTGACAGCTTTTAAAAGTTTAATATTAAAACATGGTAATTGTTTAATAGCTTTCCAAAGTTTGTGCTTTTTTTTTTCAGTTACTAACTTCAACAATTTTCACATTTTCGTTTTCCCTCTCAATTTCACTCTTTACTGAATCTTCATCCATTTCAACCCAGTTCTGCCTCTCCCTCTCATCACCACCGCACCGCCCCACTTCTTCGTCTCCTCTCCGTCAACACCACCGTCTCACATCTGCGCATCTCCCGCCTCTCTACATAAGAGGTGAAGTTCTTGAATAGTGAATACAGGTTAGTATCTCGTTATCTAACCTACGAATTTCAGGGTTTTCCTGTTGTTTTGGTTCATTTGTTTGAATTGATTTTATTGCTTTTTGTTTTGTGTCCAATATTTTGGGGTTTGGGTTTTATTCGGTTATTTGAGAAAGATTTTGTGAATCGGGTCTTGTTAATAGGCTGCCCTGTTCGGGTATTCTTAAGATTTTTTTCCCGTATAGGGTTTCTCCGGTTTTCAGCTTCTTCTCGTCAGTTTGATTCATATCCTTGTCATGTTCCCGAATGATAGATGGTTTTGCTGCTTTAAACTTGATGCCTAGGTTCCTAATGTAAAAGACGAAAATCACATAAAAACAATTTACAATCCTGTTCACATTGACACGCTTTAAGTATCCCCTCTTTATATGATTATTGCTATTTTTTCAGTGTAGTAGATGATTACATCAGACATACTTGAATTTACTTAATAAAAACTAAAGACGAAACAAAATATCTCTTACATAATTTCATCACCTATACTCAAAATCATTTTGATACAAGTAGCAAAAACTATAAAAATTACGAATTTAAAAACCCTCAGCTAATTACGCATGTTTTGCACTTTATAATTTAACATTCTTTAATCTTTTTATTACAATTCAACTAAACTCGAGTGGTAAGTCTCAACTAATTATTTATAGCTCATTTTACCTTTATTTACAGGTAATTTAGAATGATAGGAATCCTAGGAATCACAGTTATNGTACCGTATTATCGATTAAGTCTAGTAATAATCGATTAAATCGATAGGAGCTGAAAAACTCTAGTTGGCTTCGTAAAAATTGATTAAGAAATACAGTGGTTAAGCAACTGAACAATCTGATGTTACAATACTCTGATCCAATAATGAATAATCTAAAAGGTACACCTAGTGTAGAAAAAGTTTAGTGAGCTCAAAGACTTCAAGCAAAGAGAAAACTCACACCCAATTAGGATAAAGCGTATTTCATTACGTACCTTTCAAAAATAAAGCCTACAAGGTAATCATTGAGGTCACATCAAGACAAACCTCAAGAGTATATAATGAGGACAAACGTCATCTTATAGAACGCCTAAGAAGGCACCAAGTAAAAAATGTCAAAGAAATAAACAAACATTCTAGTCCCAAAACCTTTGTTTACTTAGGACTTTTTATTTGTTTAGTTATTCGCTTCCACTTTTTTATGCTAGCAATGTCTATTGACTAGTAGTGCCACACACACCACATAACTTTTCAAAAAAATAACCATAAAGAAAGGAAAACCAAAGCAAAGAAAGTCGAAGTCCACAAAAACAAAGCAAAAGGAAAACTCGCCAATATATGGGACGACCAAACAACAAAAAGCAAAAGGCCCGACCGAATTATCAACTTACAAGCAAGCCTAGCCGAATGATCAACTTAAAAGCAAGCTCACCCAAATGATGAACTTACAAGCAAGCTTGACCGAATGACTAAGTGATATATGAGTTTGGCCTAATGATCAATCCACCTATATAAAAGCTCGACTTCATCTACAAGCTCGCCTGAATAACCAAACGACATAAGAGCTATAACGAATGGTCAATCCACCTACAAGTTTGGTCGAAAGACTAAACAATATAAGCGCTCGATTGAATGGTGAATCCACTTACAAGCTCAGTCGAATGACCAAATGATATAAGAGTTTGGCCGAACATCCAAATCCACCTGAAAAGTCTACAAGTCGACAAAGCTCGACCAGAAGGACAATCACAAACATTCCTAAGACTAAAAATCAAACTTCCAAGATTGAAATGACTTATATACATACCCTACCAAATATGCTAGATGATGCAGCCTAACAAAGACCCATTATTAAAATTTTGACAATTTTATTATATCTTTAAAATAGTCATTAAATATTTTTTCATAGCATATCTCTAATCCACATAATTCTCACATAAATAACATAGATTGTGTGAACTTATTAATACACACGAATTTAATAAGAAAAGAACACTAAAACTCATACTCTTTTATACATAAAAATCATGCTCTTTAACATATGAAAATTTTTTATAAATAAATTTTCTTCCACTTTTCAACCTGAAAAAGACATATATGAATTTCTTACATTCAAACACATACTGCCACCTCAAAGGCCATACTAAAATATATGATAAAAACATAAAAAAAAATTCAATTGGATAAACTTCAGAATCAAAGTAAAAAAACGATGTATAACATCAAAATTAACTAAAGAGTTAATGAATTAACCATTTATAATATCCCATGAAAATTAATTGAAGAGTTAATAAATTAACCATTTATAACATCCCTGTGTAGGGATGACAACGGATCGGGTCAGATACGGATAATGCCTACCCTCAATCCGATCCGACAAAACAAATATACCCGCTTGTCAATCCGCTACCCGCTTAAAAAATATCTGCGGATATTTTAAAACCCGCGGATATCCGTGGATACCTGCGAATACCCGCAAATATTTAAAAAATATATTTTTATAAAATATTATAATAAAATTTAAATAAAATTACAAAAAATATATAAAATATAATATTAATTAAATTAAATACAAATTAAATTTTAATTTTAATTATATTTAATCTTATAAAATATAAATTAATTTTAATTTTATTTAAATTTAACTTAATAAAATATAAATTAAAGTTTTACTATTATTTTTCGGAGGTAACAGATATTCGCAGATACGAATAGTATAATACCTGACCCGACTTGTTTATAAGTAGCTATTAGAAAACCCACTATCCACAACTCATAGTAATGAATATTCGCGAATACCAATTATTTGTCACGAATTTTATCTGTGAATATCCACCGATTTTTTTGCCATCTCTAATCTTACGGATAAATAAACTGATTAGATATTCACAGTAATTAATATTTAACATAAACCAATCCCGCATATAATTTTATTACGGTCAAATAACTATAAAAGTAAACATATCAAATAGTTGGAGCAAAACGATGAAAATACTAACTTTACAGATTTTAATAATATGGTAATATTATTTGAAATCTCAATTTAAATGCATACAAAAATTGATAAATATCAAATTGACAGCTTTTAAAAGTTTAATATTAAAACATGGTAATTGTTTAATAGCTTTCCAAAGTTTGTGCTTTTTTTTTTCAGTTACAAACTTCAACAATTTTCACATTTTCGTTTTCCCTCTCAATTTCACTCTTTACTGAATCTTCATCCATTTCAACCCAGTTCTGCCTCTCCCTCTCATCACCACCGCACCGCCCCACTTCTTCGTCTCCTCTCCGTCAACACCACCGTCTCACATCTGCGCATCTCCCGCCTCTCTACATAAGAGGTGAAGTTCTTGAATAGTGAATACAGGTTAGTATCTCGTTATCTAACCTACGAATTTCAGGGTTGTCCTGTTGTTTTGGTTCATTTGTTTGAATTGATTTTATTGCTTTTTGTTTTGTGTCCAATATTTTGGGGTTTGGGTTTTATTCGGTTATTTGAGAAAGATTTTGTGAATCGGGTCTTGTTAATAGGCTGCCCTGTTCGGGTATTCTTAAGATTTTCTTCCCGTATAGGGTTTCTCCGGTTTTCAGCTTCTTCTCGTCAGTTTGATTCATATCCTTGTCATGTTCCCGAATGATAGATGGTTTTGCTGCTTTAAACTTGATGCCTAGGTTCCTAATGTAAAAGACGAAAATCACATAAAAACAATTTACAATCCTGTTCACATTGACACGCTTTAAGTATCCCCTCTTTATATGATTATTGCTATTTTTTCAGTGTAGTAGATGATTACATCAGACATACTTGAATTTACTTAATAAAAACTAAAGACGAAACAAAATATCTCTTACATAATTTCATCACCTATACTCAAAATCATTTTGATACAAGTAGCAAAAACTATAAAAATTACGAATTTAAAAACCCTCAGCTAATTACGCATGTTTTGCACTTTATAATTTAACATTCTTTAATCTTTTTATTACAATTCAACTAAACTCGAGTGGTAAGTCTCAACTAATTATTTATAGCTCATTTTACCTTTATTTACAGGTAATTTAGAATGATAGGAATCCTAGGAATCACAGTTATAATTGGATGAAAACCAAGAGCAAGATATAGAAATTCCTAGGGAGGAAAAGAATTTGAGTTTGCTCAGTGGATGTGAGATCAGAGAGCAAATATTCAAGGAAGTTTCTGTATAATACTGAGCTGTAAGACCTGGTTGTAGACGTCATTGAATGTTTGAGTTCTCTGGGAAGCTTGTATGTTTTATAGTATATTAATAAAAGTGTCATGTTATTTAATAGGTCAAAGTCTAGTATGGTGGGATAAAAGGACTCGTGGACATGCCTACGTTTAGTGGAAAATAAAATAAAATAAGAATTGGTGAAGTTAAAATGGGAATGTGCAAAATAAGATGACTAAAATAGTTATTAAATGAGTATAATATCAGCAAAATCATCTTGGTCTAGTGGTAATGTGTTGTGTGCTTGTTTGTGTGGCTTTTATGCATCTGAGGTGGGTTTTTTGGGCTGGCTTACGAAGCCCATTAATCAAAGAGGGGTAGTCAGGATCAGAAGCTCATGTCTCCTCTTCTTTCTTTTTCGTAAAAGCTTCTCTCTTCTTTTCTTCCCTTCTTTTTTCTTATTTTTCCGAAAACCCTAGGGCAAAGGGGGATTTTTAATGCATGAGAGAGAGCAGCGTGAGGAAGAATCCAATGCTTAGAGGATTAACAGACAAGAACGAAATTAATAGAGCGAGGGTCAGTTACAAGGAGTACAGAAGAAGAAGAATCCAAAGTGAGGGGTTTAATTTCTAGGGTTCGAGAATTCAATTCAAGGTGATGGAGAAGCCTATAAATAGGGCGAGCAAGAGAGGGTAAGGGACACACAGAGAAAGCATTTTAGAAACCTAAGAGTGAGGGTTTGAGTGGAGTAGAGCACGTTTCCAGGTATGGGGAGCTTACTTGGCTTGCTTTTAATTGTGGTTTTGGTCTGGATGCGTGGTGAATAATGTTCTGCGGTGTGAATGGTTTGTTCAATATTCTGTTTTTGTTCATGTCGGATGGGTATGAATTGCTATAGCTGTTGAGATAATTTAGAATCAGTAAATATTTGTATTTGGAAGCAATTAATTAGACTTTTCAGTCACTTCTACGTATGATGAATGGTAGATGTTGCATAGTCAATTTAGATGTTATGGTAATTGTTATGCTTTGTTGAGACATGATATGCGGATAGTTATTGGATTTCAAATAATTCTTTTCGTGTCTAATGTTAATTTCTCGTTCTTAGTGAAGCGGTTACAACACTGTTGTGTTTTTGCCCAAGATGTTGGATTGAGTATGTTAAAATGTCAGATTATAGAGGCACACGTGAAAATTAGTATTATGTTGTTAAAATCTGAAATTTGCTTGGATGATTGAATGGAATCAATGATAATTATTTATATTGGGATGACAGAATTCTTCGTGCTAGACTAGAATACTATGACATTATGTATATTGTTTATAAAGTAGTATAAAGGCTTAGTATGTGTCTACAGGTCTGATAGAACTTTGTTAATGGATAAATTGACTATAATTTTGTTGGTATATGTTTTAAAAAAAATTAGAGGTACTTAATTTGTGTATGACTGGAATTACTTGTATGTCATCCATTCCTCTGTTTTGGGTTGCAGAGGATAAGTGGGGGTTAAGTTGTGTGAGATAAGTAGTGTAAGGGATGGTAGATCTGTATATTATAAATGACATTTGGACTTGGTTTGATGATTATAAGTAAGTGAAATTTGTTGGATGAGTAGTCTGATATGGTTTCAGAAATTATCTACTTGCTGTGATGCCTGAATGTGTATCTGACATGAAACCACATATTATGATATTAAATCTGATTGCATGTATGTTAGTGTTCAGGCTTTTTGCATAAATGATAGGATACTGGAAGTAAAAGTTCATGAACTTAGTTAAAATAATAGATATTATAATTTTTGCTGAATTAATTCCAGATTATGTATGGGTTGGTGTTTAGGTGAATATGTTAAGTAGGATGCAGTTTTGTAAACATTTTTTTCCTGTTTACTTTGGACGATACTAATTTCCGATTTCAATGAATATAGTGTACGGACTTGGTCGATGATGGTTGACTCTGTTTGGATTAAAAATAGGTTTTTGAAAATTGTAAAAGATGTACTTTGTTCAGGATAAAGGCTTAACAAGAATTTATTAGATTTCAATGCTGAATAAACACTATGAACTGATATACTTGTCCACATTTTTTACTCTGGTTCTCTAGATACAAGCCATATTAATTGATCATGTGTGCTATGTTTGGAGAAGTGAGAAAATGGTTTTCTGTGTGGATTAGGTATGAAATTGTTTATGGCTGTTGTAATATTACGACATTCTGGAATGAGTAAATAGCTATTCTGTTTAGTTTAATGGTTTTGATTAAGTTAATGAATTAATTGAATGTAACAATTGGTATCAAATTCTTCTAAAACGGTATGCATAAGGTTTCAATGCTGATGTTCTAGATGCATGTATGCTTTGAATGTTTGTCTGGGGTAAGGATAGATAACAAGATCATAATCTAGTATTAAATTGCTTAACTACTCTGAATTAGTTCATGAGGTGACATTTGACTAATGTAATGTGAATCATATACTCTTGCATATTGGAACTTTATAGCCTGAAAAATTGATAATGTTTATTATATGACCTAGTACTCTGGTATAATCTGTTTTATATGGATTATGGGTATTTCCGGCTGCTGGATTTTATGGGTAATGCTATTGATGAATATTGCTTAAAATCTGTTTTAGTTCAGCATGGATAGAATATGTAATGGGTTGTGGTCTGATCTATGCTATTCTTGATGAATATGTCCAGTAAACCTGGTTTGTACAGGTGATTGAAAGTACGATGATATGCCTACTCAGAGTATAAACTTACACTGTTTTAAATCTCGAATCTGCATGTATGTGATGTCAGTTGATCGAATCAGGTGGATAGACATAAGGATGATTAGGTACAGCGTGAACCACCCTATTTTACATAAAATAACCTTGTATCCCAGTTTAACTATGAAGCTGCAGGGTGTAATAGAGAGGATGTTTATCTATTTATGGAATGTGTGACGTGATTAGCATGTGATTTAACATGATTTATGCATTATAGTTTGGAAAATATTTTGGGTGATTTAAAGAATTATTATGAGCATCCCATATCTCCAAATGACTTTTTGAAACTTGTAATTAGTATGAACTCACTTGCTGATATTATTGTTTGGTGATTGAATGTAACTAGTTTGTGGTATGTAATGACTGAACATGTTGAGTTTTTGACTGAAAATAGGTTGGATAGGAGTCTTTTGGATGGTAGAATAAGTTTAGGTAACCCGATTTTCGAGGATGGAAATTTTTGAAGAGGGAGAGAATGTAAGACCCTGATTGTAGACGTTTTGGATGGTAGAATAAGTCTAGCTGTATTATTTTCTGAAATAAATTATTTTGAAGAATACAAGGTAAAGATGACAGTTATATCTGTCTAACAGAAATCATCTATATCATGGAACGAGATACATTTTGATTTGCAAGGAGAATCTGCTGGGTACTTGTTCTTTTGGTAGTTTTAAAACCATATTGCGATTTTTCAATGTTTATGATTTCTTTGCTGTTTTAACCTATGGATCAGTAGTGTTCATACACATAGACCCTACACTTTAACACTCCAGACCCCACACTAGTATGATTATTGTGGTTGGCTTTTGTAATGACTAGATACAATTATCCGACTATGTCTTAATGTCTTCTGATTATGGTCTCTTAATTTGATTCAAATCCATGGTTGCGAATAGTGCTCAAGTGCCATGGGAATAGCTGCCAATTCCATCACGAGCACCTCCATTGCAGTGTGGCTTGGTGTTGTGGCTGTAGTGCCTCAAATAGAAGCCAGGATAGGGCTGCTATTCTGTTTTTCTCAAAATGGGTTACCTATCTTCCTTACTGATATAACTATTTGACTTACCTATTAATGGAGTATGTTCTCTTTTATTTTAAGATCAATGGTCATCCGGAACCCGATGTGTTGACCCTCCAATAAGATGCACATTACATGATTGGTTAATGTTATGAGATTCATCTTGCATGTGAATTTGGGAAATTTTGTTTTTATGTCACCACTTTTGACTGTCTGCCAAACTATTGCCTTTTCATTCTGACAATTTTAGTATTCTATTCTATCTGTGATGTTTACAGTATTACTTGTCAATTTTATTCTTTTCTGTTTTCAAGGCTGTCTAGTGGAAGTTTGAACTTTGAACATGTATGGGAGAACAGCTTGCCAACTTGTGAAAGAATTTGCAAGCGGAGATAAGGGCCAGCTTGTGTCATTCAATGTAAGCCCACTTCTTCACTTTTTAGTAGGTTATTTTTATATTTATTTTCTACAATTGTTGGGTTATGTTGGAACCCCCTTGTATAGTGGAAAACACATTACATTATCAGCAGGTATGTTAGAAAGCTGCTTTAATTGCAGACACCCCTAGTCCTTAGTGGGAGTTTCTTTGTGAGCTTCTTTTAATTGCAGTCTCAAAGGTGGGGATCTAGTTTCGTAGACTAGAGATATGACTTAAGAGCTTCTTTAGATAAACTTGTCTAGAGGTACTTAACAGACCATACCTAGAGCTCATAAAGCTCGGGTAGTTTTCACCTTACTAACTAGTTTTGCCAGATAAAGTTTGACCTTAACTCCAAATTCTAAAATTGGTATTCTTGTGTGTGTGATATATTTTCTTATTAAGTTTTAGAATAAATTTGGAAAAGCTTGTGCGAACCAAGTTTGAGTTTTATGCATCCAGAGATTTGTAGTTGTATGTAATGGCAGCCGATGTTACTGATGCTTGGTGATGGCAATTTGTGTTACGAGAATGTATCACATTAACCTAACCGAGGATGCTTTAATTCTCTTCTTAAGTTTCCCCTTTGGCTATGCGCCAGGCAGTATCTCGATCTACTTTCTTTCGATTTAAATACTGCCTGTAATTCTTTGCTGCGACAAAGGTTCGGATTTGTCAGTGTAAATCAACTGAGTTGAACACTGAATGCTATGGCAAGTTGACAACCTTGAGAAGTTGTAAGATCAAAAATTGAAATTGTTTGTATAAGATCTTTTTGATTTGATTAAGAATTCAAGTAGCTATTTCAGATATGAAATCTTTTTTCTTAAATTCATTAACTGCTTGTGTTAGGTCCCTTTTAAAATTTCTCAATCATTTCTATCATTTTCACACATCTCTCCACTCCCCACTCCACCCACTCTGAAGGGGAGTAAAAAGGCTTGGAGAAGCTACCCTAATTGCTGTCAGAAATTATTTTGGTCTATTGGGAGTCATTATGTTTCATTCTATGACATTACCGTCCTTGATGAAGTATCTTTTATGTATGATACTGCTAATTTATTCCTTGATTTTCTCTACTCTTATTTATCTATCATAGTTTCCAGTGGGTCAGAAATTATTTTGGTCTATTGGGAGTCATTAGGTTTTAGTCTATGACATAATCGTCCTTGATGAAGTATTTTTTATGTATGATACTGCTATTTGATTCCTTGATTTTCTTTACTCTTATTTATCTATCATAGATATTTTCCCGTGGGTTTGTAATGTACCTACGATATATTGTTATGGCTATGTGCATACTTTTGTTGATTATTTTGCCAATAATCTTGTAGAGTGACTTGTTTCAACAAGTAGTTGCAGAATGCAGTCAACATCTCCTTGAACTGCAGTCCCTGATAAGGTAACATCAATGTGCTTTCCTGCTTTTGTTTTTTGTCCCCCTTTCTACATTGGAGTGTGCTATTTCATACAAAGTGAAGCAAGGGATGATGAACTCGCATTCTATTTTTCCTTGAACATAACTTTTCGTTGCATTATCCTATCCCATTTGTGCATGTGCTGTTCTGTGTAAACAGGAAGATGGAGGAAGAACGTTTGGATATCCAAACAGTAAGAAATGCAGATTATTACGGAGCGCTTATCCATCATCTTACTTTAGTCCGAAATAAACGTTGCCTAATGGCTTATGTGTAAGTATCTCTTGAAATGCTATTTACCATCAAGCATAGTTATTGTTATTACTGTATTTTGTAATCTATCTGCATTCTGAGATTCTATAACTTGTCTCTATGTAGGTATAATCGAGCAGAAATTATACGGAACTTATTATGGAAGATAGGGCATGTGCTTCCTCAAGAAATTGAAGAGAAGCTTTCTCATGCGGAGGGAGAATATTTCAAGAAGCATTCTGCAGCATTGAAATATTATATGTCGAAAGTGATGGTTGATCTGACTGTGGTAACTTCTCCCTCTCCCCCGCTTTAATTCTGTTACTTCCACACACACAGGAGCACATGCACATGAATACACATATAAGAGATATACATAGTTCAGTTACACATGTGCATGGCCATAGTTTCTAATATTTGCTGTCTGTAATCAAATGCCTTGTTAAGTAATTTCCGCCAGGTGCACGTGATTATTGATTGTTACGGAACATCTTTTCGTTGTGCTATGAAAACTATCCCTCTTTTTATTTCCATGTTTGGGTCGGAAATGAATTTAGTTATTGCTCTAATAATATAAGCAAGGTACTTGTTTACGTGCACCTTAAGCATTTTTGCAGAATGAATAGGGGAAATTGGTTGATAGTAATCATGGTGGTTAAGAACCATGCTTAATGGATCTAAATGTAATTCCTTATCATTGTTCAATATTCTCTTAGGTTTTACTTTTTCACCAATTTTCATGAAGAAAAATTGAGGTCACGTGACTGTAGATTTTTAAGTGAAGAAATTTGAAAGAATTCTTATGAACTTATTTGATTATTCCACCTGCATTTGTCACTCATTCATTCAATGGATGTATTCTATCTAGCTATTTACTTGTTTTGTTTATATTTTTCTAAAATAATGACTTCACAAACTTACATAAACTACTAGTTTTATTTTGTATGATTCAGGAATTATGATTTCCTTACACAATTATGATTTCCATAAACTACTAGTCTTATAATTCCATACACAATTATGATTTCCCATTCAAAAAATTGTTCAACGATTCATGAATCTGGATTCTAACCATGCCGTAAAGTACTATGTTTTCACTTAAAATCTGCATTTTAATAGGATATGATACCACCAAAAGATCCTTACATCAAAGTAAGGGTTCTTGATGACATTGGAGACGGCATTCTGCTTAGTGATGATAAGACTGCAAATTTTGCCTGCCATTCAATGCATCTTCTGAAGCGAACTGATGCTGAGCAATTTATCTCACGGGTTAAGTGTCTTGCACCTAAAGATTTATAGCATTATGATTTGAAATGCAATCTAATTTTTTCTGTTTCCTGAAATATCAACAGGGTCAAATGGAGGAACTATCTGGTTGACCTTGTAGGCTACCAAGAGGATATGTATATGAGAAGGTCATTTCAAAGTTGATACGGATTATGTAATATTTTTAAAAGTTTTTAATTTTAGTGACATTCTTCTCAATTTCGCAAGTGTTAGATTAAGAAAATGGATCAAAACTTCATTTATTTGTGTTTTAAAATATATTTCCAAATTTTAAAAAGAATGTATTTTGAATTATACTAATGCAAAAATGCATTTTTGAATAATAATTCAAAATGCTTTTAAATTACACAAATCGAGATTGAAATATATTTTTAGATTACGTAATTTATGCAATATAGAATTTTTAAATTTCATAGAATTTTTAGATTTCATAACTTGAAATTTAAAAATTTATACATGTGCTAAATTACGTAATTCATTTAGAATTATGAAATTAAAAAATATAAAGTATATTTTGAATTGCATAGTTTGTAATATGTTTTTAGTTATAAAATAAAAAGTTAGAAATATATTTTGAATTATATAATTTAGAATATACTTTTATACATTTATATTATACAATTTGAAACATGTTTTTAAATTTTACAATCCAGTATTGGCATATTTCTAAGACCTCCATGAAGTTGCGCAGAGCAATTATGGGTTACAAAAAGTAATTTCCATAGTTTGGAACTATATGATCTTCTAAATAGACTTCAAGTTTAGTGTTTGATTTGTCATGTAAATTATGGTGTTTATTTTCTTATTTTGATTTAATTAAGCACAAATTTCAACTATTGATTTGAATTATTTATTAATATTAATCGACAACGTTCACTTATTATATACAAATAAGTGTAATTCAATATAATATAAAAAATCAAAGTTATATTTGAACAAAAAAAATGTACAATATGCTTTTTAGAAACTCAAATTGAAATAATTTAATTTAAAAAGACAACTTCGTCAAATATATTATTAAAATGTATCTTATATTTATATTAAATTATCTTAGAATAAATTATCTAGTTAATTTATTCTAAATTATCTTATATTTTAAAATAACACTATTATTTTAATAATACTAGAAGGTGTCATGTAAGAGGTGGAGTGTTTGTCCATTATCATCCAAATTTCTCAATTTAAATCAAATGTATTTAAATTTTCTAAAAAATTATAAAATTTCTAAAGTTAAGATGAACTTTGAGATATAGTTTTTTTGTCAGAACCCGACCCGTGTTAAGGGTTTACCTTAGTAGAAAGGACTTGTTGGTTCTGTGACTAAATCCGAACGACATAACTCATAATTCAGTTCAAATTCAAAGGTTTTGTGTGAATTTGGATTTGTAGGTACTCGTTGCACTGATCAATCCCAGTTCTAAGCGGTGTATGTCCAAAGTTTGTTGTGTCGAAATTTTATACTATTTACGTGAGTGAGTGCCTCCCCTTTCGCGTTCCATTTTCTAAGTTTTATCTGAATGATAATGTCGTTTATTTATTCCTTTTTTTTATGTTATATTTTCTTAAGAATAACAAAAGCGGTGTCGTGCTCCTGTAATTTTCTTTTTCTTTTCCCAGTTATTATAGAAGGTTTGTCGGTTCAGTAGAAAAAAAATGACTTGTACTCAAACTTCATGGTAAGCTTTGTTTTAGTGTTCACTTTTTTCCAGTGAATTTGCCACTGAGGTTCACTTTTTAAAGGGTAGAAGTCAAATCCATGCACCATATTTTGTGTTCGTGGTGTGTGATTCTCGAAGGGCATGGTGAATTCTTTACACCCAATGTGTTTCTGTGCCTTTAATGGTGTTCTGTGTATTATTTATTTAGCTGATAGATTGTGTGATGCAACTGGATGTTTTCTTTATTGAATCTTATAGAGTTATAGTATCAAACTAGAAATAAATTACGACTGAGTTTGCTCAATGGATGTGAGATCAATAGTAAATATTCGAGAAAGTTTATAATATATTAATAAAAATGTCATGTTATTTGATTGGTCAAAGTCTAGTATGGTGGGATAAAAGGACTCGTGGACATGTCTAAGTTTAGTAGAGAATAAAATAAAATAAAAATGGGTGAAGTTAAAATAGGAATGGGCAAAATAAGATGAGTAAAATAGTTATTAAATATCAGCAAAATCATCTTGGTCTAGTGGTAATGTGCTGTGTGCTTGTTTGCGTGGTTTTTATGCATCTGAGGTGGTTTTTTTGGGCTGGGTTACGAACCCATTAATCAAAGAGGGTAGTCAGGATCAGAAGCTCATTTCTCCTCTTCTTTCTTTTTCGTAAAAGCCTCTCTCTTCTTTTCTTCCCTTCTTTTTTCTTATTTTTTCGAAAACCCTAGGGCAAAGGGGGATTTTTAATGCATGAGAGAGAGGACGTGAGGAAGAATCCAATGCTTAGAGGATTAACGGACAAAAACAAAATTAAGAGAGCGAGGATCACTTACTAGGAGTAAAGAAGAAGATGAATCCAAAGTGAGGGGTTTAATTTCTAGGTTCAATTTGGGGTGATGGAGAAGCCTACAAATAGGACGAGCAAGAGAGGGTTAGGGACACACCCAGAAAGCATTTTAGAAACCTAAGAGTGAGGGTTTGAGTGGAGTGAGAGACGCGGAAGTGCGGAGCTAGGTAGAAGTGGTTGCAACGTGAAGAAGAGCATGTTTCCAGGTATGGGGAGCCAACTTGGCTTGCTTTTAATTGTGGTTTTGGTCTGGATGCGTGGTGAATAATGTTCTGCGGTGTGAATGGTTTGTTCAATATTCTGTTTTTGTTCATGTCGGATGGGTATGAATTGCTATAGCTGTTGAGATAATTTAGAATCAGTAAATATGTATTTGGAAGCAATTAATTAGACTTTTCAGTCATTTCTACGTATGATGAATGGTAGATGTTGCATAGTCAATTTAGATGTTATGGTAATTGTTATGCTTTGTTGAGACATGATATGCGGATAGTTATTGGATTTCAAATAATTCTTTTCGTGTCTAATGTTAATTTCTCGTTCTTAGTGAAGCGGTTACAACGAAATAATTCTTTTCGTGTCTAATGTTAATTTCTCGTTCTTAGTGAAGCGGTTACAACACTGTTGTGTTTTTGCCCAAGATGTTGGATTGAGTATGTTAAAATGTCAGATTGTAGAGGCACACGTGAAAATTAGTATTATGTTGTTAAAATCTGATATTTGCTTGGATGATTGAATGGAATCAATGATAATTATTTACATTGGGATGACAAAATTCTACGTGCTAGACTAGAATACTATGACATTATGTATATTGTTTACAAAGTAGTATAAAGGCTTAGTATGTGTCTACAGGTCTGATAGAACTTTGTTAATGGATAAATTGACTATAATTTTGTTGGTATATGTTTAAAAAAAAATTAGAGGTACTTAATTTGTGTATGACTGGAATTACTTGTATGTCATCCATTCCTCTGTTTTGGGTTGTGTTGGAAGTCCAACATCGACTAAAGATAAGGCAAATTTAGTGTATATAAGTGGGTGCAAACCTCACCTTACAAGTGGGGCTGAGTTAGGCTGAAAACTCACTATTATCTTATATTTTAAAATAACACTATTATTTTAATAATACTAGAAGGGTGTCATGTAAGAGGTGCAGTGTTTGTGCATCATCATCCAAATTTCTCAATTTAAATCAAATGTATTTAAATTTTCAAAAATTATAAAATTTCTAAAGTTAAGATGGACTTTGAGATAGAGTTTTTTGGTCAGAATCCGACCCGTGTTAAGGGTTTACCTTGGTAGAAAGGACTTGTTGGTTCTGTGACTAAATCCGAACGACATAATTCATAATTCAGTTCAAATTCAAAGGTTTTGTGTGAATTTGGATTTGCAGGTACTTGTTGCAGTGATCAATCCCAGTTCTAAGCGGTGTATGTCCAAAGTTTGTTGTGTTGAAATTATATACTTTTTACGTGAGTGACTGCCTCCACCTTCCGCGTTCCATTTTCCAAGTTTTATGTGAATTATAATGTCGTTTATTTATTCCTGTTTTATGTTATATTTTCTTAAGAATAACAAAAGTGGTGTTGTGCTCCTGTAATTTTTCTTTTCTTTTCTCAGTTATTGTGGAAGCTTTGTCGGTTCAGTAGAAAAAAAGTGGACTTGTATTCAAAATTCATGGTAAGCTTTGTTTTAGTGTTCACTTTTTTCCAGTGAATTTGCCACTAAGGTTCACTTTTTAAAGGGTAGAAGTCAAATCCATGCACCATATTTTGTGTTCGGGATGTGTGATTCTCGAAGGGCATGGTGAATTCATTACACCCAATGTGTTTCTGTACCTTTAATGGTGTTCTGTTTATTTTTTATTTAGCTACTAGATTTTGTGATGCAACTGGATGTTTTCTGTTATACTATCAAACTAGAAATAAATTATGTCTGAGCTACCTTTTGTTGAGTTTTAAAACTTTTTAATGCAGTTAGGTTTTTGTTTTTTCCCCTATAATTATTTTTGTTTTAGTTTTTTTCAATTTCATTGGTTGGGTCTTTTCTGGTTTGTTTTTGTACTCAGGAGGTATTCAAAAGGGCCATACTACAGCCTGGGCCACCTGAAAATTTTGCTTTGAAGACAGTCCAAGAAGTAATAAATCCTCAGGTATGAGTACTCTTTTGAAAATTTGACTCCTATGCCGTACATGTTAATGAGAATTGTGGAACTAGTTTGTAAAATTTTAGACATGATAATGGTTTGAGCACTTTATTCCTGGAGTTACCTTAGAGGTGGTGGTGGTGGTTATTAATATTTGTTTAATTCTATTAGTTTGATTATTGTTTCTTTGGGTTCTTGTTGAGAGGACAGTGATAGTTGTCAGGTTGGGTGATGTCTGAAAGGTACAGAAAAGGAAGATATTTGAATTTAAGGCACTGTTAGAAAAGAATGGAGGAACTGTTGATTCATAGTAGTCCACCCCAAATAGTGACGTGGAGCAACCAAGCCAAAAAATTGCTATAGTGGGATAGTGGTATGAGCATTGTTTTGAACTGGAAACCTTAAACATGATGTACGCTAAACATGTATATATATGCTGAAAAGTAAACAAAGAAATACCCAATGTTAAAGAGAAGTCATTGTTGTTTTGTTAGGAAGTTAGAAGTACATGAGAGGAGGAATAAAAGAGGAGGGAATTAAACTAATACCGAACTGTAAGGCAGGGGGAAGTGAGGCCAAACGGTGCATGAGAGGAGAAACGGAACGGTAAGGCAAGGGGGAATTGAGGCCGAATAGAAAGACAGGAGAAAGTGAGGCCGAACGGTGTAAGAGAGGAGAAGCTGAACGATAAGGCAGTGGGAAGTGAGGCCGAATGGTAGAGGCTGACTATTTTACGAATTATGAAGAGGTTATTTTCTTGAGTATAGACTAGACATATTTTCCAACGAAGGAAGGTAGGCTTCCTTGGGGAAGAGTATACTTGTATTTTCGATACTTTACTGAATCAATAATACATATATACTTACTTTCAATTCTGTTGTTCGAGTGCTGAAGTGAGAAGAGAGTATAGATTAGGTTATTTGCACAAAGTAACCTAACATGTTCCAACTTTTTAGAGAGATTGGGGACAAAATAGAGAAGAAAGAAGTATATACTTGGCTGAAATGGCAGTGGGTGGGTCACAAAGTGGTGAATGGCTGGGATGTCGTTGGAGAAGAGGTGGATCTCTGCAAACTGGTGAGAATAGAGCCTGACATACTAGATATTTGCCAGAAACGAGCTGCATGGCAATGTTGTGAGCAGTGATGGAAACTGGTGGAGGAGTAACTGTTCAACAGTGACTGTGCTTGCAGTTGGAGGGACGCATGAACTAATGTAAGGGGAACAGGAAAAGGCCAACTTATAGAACCTATGTGATTTTCCAGTGTCAATTCCCTTGCCCCCTGGCCAAGCTTGAAACAACACTCAAGCAGAGGCTATTTGAAAACAGCAGGTCACAAATAGGCAGGATGGCAACATTTAATCATGCCTCTCTACCATCATGGCCATGCACAGTGTGACAGTTCCGAGGATGGGACGAGTAGGATACCATGATAGTGCACTTACTATTAACTACTTTGTTGATTGTGGAAGGGTTTTAGGTTGTGCTAGCTGTAGATCTCATTTCAAAATCTTAAGTTTGTTTTTGTTTTTGGTTTCATAATGAATTTTTTGTGATATAAAAGAATTTAAAATATAACTTTTTTTATTATTTTGGAAATCTTGAGAGTTCTTCTAGAAGACTCATTCTTCATGGTGTATATGTCCTATCTCTCGCTCTAGTATAAAATCAGCTCTTTTGATGACTTACATTGTCTGTCCGATATTCCATTTCCATTATGTTTGCATGGTAACTGATTGATAACGCTTGCCTGAGGTTCTCTTTGTGGTAGTTTTCATGTGATTTTGTTAACGGCTGATTCATTTGTGTGCAACAGAAACAAACGAAGTTGGCCCAAGATGAGAATCAATTCCTAGAAAATATTTTACGTATGCTGCTTCAGGAGTTTGTGGTATGTCTAACTGTTGCCCGTATTCATAATTCATCATTTGTTTTTTCTGTCCTTGTTGAATTATAACAATAATATAATTCTAGAACAAGGATTCCTTGTAAAATACCATTGAGAATGTTACTGCCGTGCATCAATCATAAATGGTGCTTTCTAGGATTGCCCCCCTCACCCCTCCCCCTCCTCTGTTGCATGGTTTTTATGCTTGATATGTACAGGAGCTGCACTTTTAATTTAATTTCATTTTACAGAGGGACTTTATTGCATTAGTCAAATTCACAAGAACTAAAAAGTATTATGCTTGTTAGAAAACAAGAGTTTAAGCAAGTGATGGAAGAAAACAGGACATTTAGACTGAGAATATTGGAATTCACTAATTTGCTGGACTGTTTGTTACATAAAAAAAAGTCCTTATTCTCATATTTATCCTATTCTCATATTTATACTAATACAATTACCAAATGACACTTAAACCTATACTTTGCTAACCTACAATAACCTGCTCACCTAATGCCAAAGGATTTTAAGAAACCTAAACAAAGATAACTTCAGTAAAGTTGGCAAATCAGGATTCCTATTGGTCCTGGCTATGTTAGTTGCATTTGCAGCCTGAGTTACACCAGTTGCACCATGACATCGATGTAACTCTTTAAATCACCAACAAAATTCCAAAAACACTTAAATTGATTGAGTTTCTCCAAGTAATAAGTAACCATTAAACAAACAATCACAAACATAGGCTTATTTTCTTTTTTTTCTTTCTATCTTATTACATATAAAAAACTTTTTTTTTGATGAAGTGATGAATAATATACAGGGCTTAAAATAAGAAACAATAGTTTACATTAAGGAACAAGAGGAGTGTGAGCAACACATTGAATTTTACCAAATATTAAATAATGTATTAAATAGTGTAAGAAAGTATGTTGAAAATAAAGTATTAAGTATTGTTAGCATTTCTCTGAGGAACAATGGACATCAATGTAATAAAGCTATCAAACCCTCAACATGTTTGTGAGACAATGTGCTTTCTACTGCATGCAAGACAAACGAATACTTTATTCCCAAAACAATTGCTTATTTCAGTGAGCTATGTTACACCCAGATGCACCAAACTGTATCCAAAACCAGTAAATATGGTCAACAAAAACTGGACCAAGTATTTCTATTACTCTTTTTCTTTGCATTCAAATGTTAAGAGTTGTACCTTATGGAGTGTTATCTAGATAACTAAGTCAAAGAGTGTTCTAAGAAACATAATTTAAGAATTGAGTCTATCCAATGCTTCTCTTGCTTATTTTCCTTTCTCTGTTTCATTATTGCCTTGGGTATGTCTGTTTAAGTATCTGAATTATTTTTCTTGTACCTATGCTTCAGTCCGCAGCAGCATCTTCTGAGAAAATAATGCAATTTGGGCAATCCATGGATTCTAGTGGAACTACTCAGGGATTCATTCCTCGCCTTCTTGGTATATGCACCATTCCACTTTTCAGAAAACATTCTTTTGGGGTTCTTTACATTCAATTGTTCTTATAATTTTGATGAAGTGTATATTTTGCTCTTATACAAGAAATTTTATTTTTTGACTAGAGCATTTATTGAAATTTATAAAGCACATATGTAATATAAATATCGTGAAAGGAACAATAATAGAAAATTGTGTGGAAACTATGGCCATAAACCAGGAAGAAAACTTAGGACTAAGCATATTATTTGTTGTGTTACATGTATACAATTTAGTATGTGTAAAACTTGTGACTAATATTGCCACACACACACATTCAACAATATTAATGAATTTTGTGATAAAAAAATTTGAGAAAAAAAAATAAAGAAGATAACTTGTTTGATTGTATATTCAAGTAGTTATTTTGTGCAGAGTAATGTCTTTTGTGATTGGCATTCTTTATAACTACATCAAATTGATATTTCCAATTATTTTGTATGTGTTAATGCCAACTTTATATTTACTTGTTAGCACTTGTAAAATTATTTTGAATTCCCAACAAGACTGGGAGAGCTGCAAAATTATTAGGAGTTTCTGTTTTTTGTCTTTCTTTGTACCTTTTCCCTTCTCTTTGTTGTGGATTTCTCATCCTCTAACCAGCTCTGCATCGCTGAGAACCTGCTTGGTATCTCCAAAAAAGTTATAATGAGTTTTAGTTGTGTTTAATTGTATGCAAAGTTTTGTGTTCCTCTCCTACTCATGCTGTGTGTCGATTTCACTTTTCAGATATTGTACTATATCTGTGTGAGAAAGAACACATTGAAGGTGGAATGATTTTTCAGCTATTGGAAGACTTGACAGAAATGTCTACAATGAAAAACTGCAAAGATATTTTTGGCTATATAGAGAGTATACAAGACATATTGGGCAAAGTATATTTCTCAGTTGTTTTTAGCTCTTTGTGCTTGTCTATTAACTATTTATACTATAAGTAACCATATCATGGCCTGTCTTACTCAAGAACTGTTGTGTTTGTGTGACTTACAGCATGAACTTTTTGCTCGAGGAAAACTTGTAATGCTGAGAACCTGCAATCAACTTCTTCGACGTCTGTCAAAGGTACATTTTGCACAAGTACATGGTCTAATAAAAAAATTGCTGTAGTAAATAATGAGCTCTTTGTTACAGATAAAAAAAAACGGTATTTTGATGTAAAATAATTTAGTGATTTGGTTTTGGAGACATTTATAAAAGAGTAGAATCTTAATTATCATTGTTTACAATCATCAAATTCACTTTAAAGAAATTGGTAAGTTTTATGAGAATCATTTTAATTGGATTTTAGATTCTTTTCAAATTCTAATTATTTTGGAAAACTTAAATGTGTGAAAAACCTTTAAAAGTAAGTATTTTCTTAAAAAAGTTGTTTTTTAGTAAAATAGCTGTAACAAAGAGATTTTATTATTCCTGCTTCTTCTATATGTTTCAACATCAAGGGCCCTTTTTGTCTCTCCTACGTTTCTGCTTTTTTTCTTTTTTGTTGTTCATATTCACCTCTCAGTGAATGGTGACTTGTATTGTATGCATATTTAGGGGCTAATGAGGACATTTGCTTGATGAATTTGTTATATGCATACCGTCATATGATGCAGTATGCAATTTAAATCCTTGAAAGCAAAGAAATATGATGACAATTTTGGAAAAAAAATTAGAACAAGGTGTTTTGGTAAAAAAATATTTCTATTTTGGAAACTATTAATCTCTACACGGGGTTATTAAATCAGTTAGTTAGCAATTAACTCATTGGATTCTTTAAAAATTGAACATTGCTACTGTTTCCCTTTTGTGGGGAGGGGGTGCTAAGGCTGAATTCTCACCATTATGGGTGGTGGTGATCCACTTTCTTTTGTAACTGGTAGAAGTCCCATATCAACTAGAGATAGAGTATATAAGTGGATTCGAACTTCACCTTACAAGCCAGTTTTGTGAGGTTGAATTAGACTTAAAGTCCACTTCTTAACAATAACCATTTATTCCAGCTATGAAGTGCTTCCAGTGGGATTTCAAGACCTGTGTTTTAAGTAAAGTCATGCTTGGAGCTTGGTTTCCTTGCTTCCTTTTTTGTTTTCTCTATCTTCCTTGCAGTTTGATAAAATTCATAACTGACTTTCTTTTGACAGGATATTTTGCTTAGTCAATTAACCAGATGATTTTTTTCTCAAAGTTTTTTGTTTGCTTTCAAGTTAAGGAACAAAATTACATGCTGTATGTTTCTTGCCTATTGGACGGTAGACATATTCACATATCAAAGGCTCTATATTTCTTGTTACATTCTTGTAAGCTGTAGTTATAGGATAAACTATTCATTTCGTGGGCTTTATAGTATTGAATAAGTATTGTTTTAAGTCAGGTTTGCAGAGGATCCATATTTATGTGTGAAGAAATTACTGTATTTTGTTTTTCTGATGATAGCTGTAATTAGATGTGTTGTTTTTTTATGTTATAGGCAAATGACGTGGTCTTTTGTGGAAGGATTCTCATGTTTTTAGCTCATTTCTTTCCATTATCAGAGCGATCAGGTATAATTATGTAAACTAGTTTTGTACATGGGTCGGTTCTCGTTGGTTACCAATGTATCACCTGTTCAGTAAAAAAATCTTGCATTGGGTTTGGTCGTATTTCTTAATTTTTTTATTTCACGTTGTCCAACCCATCCTTGACAAAGTTGGGTCAATTGGATCACACTTTGAAAAAAAAATTGCTAAAATTTGTAATTTGAAAACATGTTTTAGAATAACTATTTTAAAAAATAGACTATATTATT